TGCCGGGCGCTTCGTAGTCGACAGCATGGGGCCATCCCAGCGCGTCCGCGCCCACTCCCATCGGGACTGGGGACCGAGTAGCCCCGACGACATCGTCGTCAGGTGTCTTCGTTCCCCCTTCCAGCGTCGGGTCTGGCCCATCTTCGCCACCCGGTGGCGCGTCTGTCCCCATCTCTTCATCTGGTGGGATGGGGACTTGCTCGGGACGCCGCATTGTCTCATCAAAGTCGTACTCTGAAAAGCTCGGCGGCAATGAGGTGACCGTCGGCGGTGACATGGGAGCCGGTCTTTGCCCATCGGCTGCCGCGGAGGCGCCAGCTTCTGCACGTTGCTGTTGCTCGGCTTCAGCGGCCCGGCTGCCCTCGCTCATCTTTTGTTCCCTATCAAGACGCCACTTCGGCCACTGCGATTCGCTCGCGGCGCAATCGCCCGTGGCCTGCTGATCCATACCGTCCGAGCCATGGGCTGGAGAACGTGCCGGGACCTCCTCTTGTGTAGGAGTATTTGCTGCCTCTTGTTGTTCCTGGAATCTGCGTAGGCGCTCGTTCAGTCCCTGCATATTCTGGTCGGCATAGTCGCCAGGTGCCTGCTGCTCTCGGCCGTCCGCGGCAACCACAGACGAAGTGCGCGGCGGCGCGGGAGGTGCCTTTTTCTGCCTGGGCTGCTTTTTGGGCGGGGGCTCACCGCGCCCTTCAGCAGACGCATGCTTGCTCGGCGGTGGCGACGAAGGCGCTCTCTCGTCGGTCGGTCTTGGCCTAAATCCAGGCGGCGGGGGCTTTGCCTTCGGCGAGCTGGGGGGCGGCCCCTTGCTCGGTGGCGTCTGCGAAGGCGTTTCATAAGGGTCGCGCGCGGCCCGTGGCGGCGCCGGAGGGGGTGCCACCCCCTGGGGGGGCGCCTTGCGCGGGGCGCAGCCCGGCGCGCGCGGCTTAGGTCGTCTGCCTTCACCTCGGGCGCCGGGGCCCGGAGTCGCACCCGGAGCCTGCGGCTTCGGAACCCTCCTTTCGCCATGGGCCGGATGGGAAGGCGGTGCGCCAGAGGCCGGAGACCTCGGCGTTCTTCCCTCGTCGTCGGCGGGATTGGAGGGCGGCGCGCCAGGAGCCTGAAACCTCGGCGTACGTCCCTCGTTCGGTGTATTGCAATTCGGGGCCGCGCCGGGAGCCGGAGGTTTCGGCTGGCCCCCCTGCCTCGGGCGCCAGCACGGCGGTGGCGCCTTGGGAGCCTGAGGCTTCGGCGGGCGGTTCTCGCCCTGATTGCAATGCGACGGCGAGGCCCCAGGGGCCGGGGGGTTCGTCGGAAGCCTCGGCGGCGCCTTCTTGGGCGGCCGCCCTCCGGGAGGCGCTTTGGGCGGAGAAGACGGCGGCCCCCGTCGCCCTGTAGTCCCAGGACGGCTGCCTCGTGCCAGCTTCCCTCGCACGATTCCAGCGATTCGGTGGGTCGCCTCTTCCCGATTATTCACGGCGTGCCGATGGGGGGGCAGCTTTGCGCTCAATGTTGGCGCGCCTCGCTGTCTCCTCCTGTAAGACTCGCCGCCGCAAATAGGAGAATGGCAGCGGCGCTGAATAGAGGGGAATTGGATCGAAGTCGAACTCAGGCAGCCCCTGATCACGTCTGCGGTCGGGCTCAGGCGATATGTAGTCAGCGCGCTTTAGCCAACCGCAGTGCACAAGGATGCCCTGAAACTCCACTATGTACTCTTGGTTGTGTGACTTCCGGCGCCCCTCCAGCGTTACGCATGGCCATGGATCGCGCGACCGTGCCGGCCGCTCGCTGGGACCCCGGACTCCCGGGTAAGTCTCGCACTTCTTGACATGCTCCTCCAGGTCTTGGAATGTGGCGCCCTCGTATGAGGTCATGAGCGAGACATCCCGCAGCAGCATCTTCCTGCAAAGCGGGCTGTCCTGAAGATGCTCGTTCTCCCTCTGCGGATAGCGCGCAGCCCCCCTTGGTCCAATCGGGGCGCGAGCAGGGTCGCCGACCCTTCCAGTCCACACGACATCGCCGGGCATCGCGGCATGGATGGACTGAAACCGATCGGCGATGCGCCTCCGTGGCCCATTGGGCCTGTACTGACCCACGTGGCCCCAGACTTCACGCTCGTAGAACCTGAAGAATTGTCTCGGAGACATTGTCTCATTCAACAACCGATCAGTGGGCTCCTGAAACCACGCTTGAAGCAGAGACTCATTCTGTGCCGGAGTGAGGAATGGTCGGAAGACGCGGAATTCTGCGTGCGCTTCAGAGTCCATCCATGGCGCAATCACCACAGCACTCAGGTCCTCAACCTGGCGATGTCCGCCGTAGCCACGCGGCACTTCCCAATTTGACTGCCTTCCCCGTATTACGGGCACATGTTTGCCTTGCGCGTAGGGCTCGAGCCCCGCGATCCAGGGGATGTTGCCGGCGCTGGCAGAATTCCAAATGGCTTGGTAGACATCCCGCGGAATGTCCACTGTTGGACGGTCCCAGGGCCTGGCGAAGACAACCAGAAGCCGTAAAGGGCCAAAACCTTCCCGTCGTGAATGTCTGGGCGCTCGCGAGCGCAGCCAACACTCAAGCATTGGCGACACGTCCCGGCTCGCCTATAGGCCCCTGGACTGCACGACATTTTTTGGAACGCTCATGGCCAATATTGTTTTGTTGAACGCACTGGGTTTGAAGAACATCTCGTTGTAGGCAATGGAAATTCCGGGGCGGTCGGTCCGTTGCTCGAGACACACGCGGGCCCAGGTAGCCTCCAGAGCGCCCTTCACCTTGGATCGCTCGGACGCATGCATGTTTTCTCGGCGGGGACCATCGAGGAGCATCTTGGGTCATCTCGCGAACGCAGAGAAAAACACGCGCGAAACCGAAACGTCCAACGAGGTCACGAGGTCCAGAAGGCCCCAGGGGCCAGGACAGCGCCCCCCCTGAACGCATGGAAAAACGCCCCCCGCTCCCCACATGGGGAACTTTAGACCAATGGGACCGTCATACGACGCGCGAACTGCAAGCGGAAACTGCTCGACGGTCAGCCAACGACAACGCCGCGCATTTCGATGCGAACGGCGCGCTGCCGCAATGCTCATTGGCGCTTGAACTTGGCGTTGCCTTGCGCTGGCACGCGGCCAATGCCCAACATCATTGAGGACATTCGCGCGCTCGTGCCAAGGCAAAAATCAACGGGGCGTCGGCCCTTGGCGGCGCTGGCAAGAACCCCAGGCGGCGCCAAGGGCCCGCCCCGCACGGGCGCGCATCGCAAAGCTTAGACCCACCCCAAAAACAAAGTTTAGGCACCATGCGAACAAAACATATAAACTCCATCCGGAATCAATTCGGATTTCTCCGAAACAGAAGATCTCGCGCGGGAGAGCCCCGAAGAATTTACATTAACAGAACAGGTGTCCATGTAAACGCCAACAAGACTTAGATTGGACCAGCTGCCTTACGAGAAACGCTCCCGATCTAATTTTTTCCGTCGGCGGGGGTATGAAGGGGCGACGGAGGCGGGCGCGGGAGCCCTCGGATGGGCCAGCGGAGCTGACGGGCGAGGGACAATGCCGCCGTCGCCTCAAACTGCATGCCGCGGCCGTGGCACGCGCGGCCCTGGGAATGCCGGCGCGGGCGCGGCCGCGCCAAGCGGGCCCAGGACGTCGCTGCGCGCGCGGGGCCCCCTTGCGGCAGCTGGCAATGGTCTCGCCGACAGGGCGCCCACACTCACGCTCATTCGCCGTGAATGCAAAACGCTTACATCTAAAATCCATAGTTGGGGGGGCTGGGGAAAATATCGGTGTTTGCGTGCCAGGGCATTTTCTTTTGCGGAGCTTGGCGCCCTGAAGCGGACGGCCGGACGACCCCTGCAGCGGGACGCCCTGGCAAAACGGTCGCCGCCGCAAAAAATACTCGTTCAACGCTGGCGATGCGCAAAGGCGGCGCCGAACAAACTGTTGGGAGCCTCCTCGGGCTCTCTTGGGGCTCTCTTGGGGCCGTCTTTGGACCCTCTCGGACCGTTTGGGGACCCTCTGGGGCTGTCTGGTGCATGGTTCTTGCAGACAGCAGCAGTTGAGCAGACCCTGAACGGCCGCAGTAGAACGTAGGGGCAGCCTCAGGCGCGCGGCCTCACCCGTAGCAGCGGATCGTGTCGGTGCACCCCTTCGCCGCACTCTGGGGGCTGCCGCCGCGCCCGCCCCTCTCGAGGCACTGCTGGTGGTAGTCCAAGCTGGCTGCTGCCCGAATCATCTCGCACTGGTTCTCTTCGTAACAGCGGCAGGAGGCGCCATCCGCCAAGACTTTCGGGTCGGCCCACTGGACAAATTTGGGGCCTGTGCAGAAGCTCGTGCACTGCAGCACGTTCTTGGCGACGGTGCTGGTGGCCGCGCGCTGCTCGTCGCAGACGACGTCTCCCCTCGTTGAGTCCTCGTCTCTGTCCTCGTCCTGTGTCCTGGGCCTCGTCCTGCGCCGGCCTCTGCCTCCTCCGCGTCCTCGCCCTCCTGCGCCGCCTCCTCCCCCTCCTCCCCGCCCTCCTGCTCCACCTCCTCCGCCTCCTCGCCCTCCTCTCCCTCACCCTCGGGCCTGCCTCGCACTCCTCCGCCTCCTCTGGTCCCCTCCTCTGGGCCGCCTCGGGGACACCCCCGGCGACTGGGGGCACCGCCGTCTCCCGGCCTCGCGGCCGCGTTCCCGTAGCGCGGCCAGTCGCATCCTTGCCGCGCCTCTCCTCGCCGCCGTCCTCCTCACTTCTCGCCTCGCTCTCCTCCTCCTCCTCCTCCTCCTCCTCCTCCTCCTCCTCCTCCTCCTCCTCCTCCTCCTCCTCTTCCTGCCTCCTCTGGGCTCCCTCAGCGCTCCCTTGGGGACCCTCTTGAGCAGTTTTGGGGCCTTCTTTGGCAAGTTTCGGACCCTTCCGGGGACCTCTTCGGTCGTCTTGGGACGATCTTTGGAGCCTCTGAGGCTGCTTTCGGCCGTTCTTGGCCAGAAAAAACGAAAACCCCCACAAACTTGCACCCCCCCCCCGGCAGGAGCGCGGCGGCGTCCCAGCAGCGAGGCCGCCCCGCACGCCCGGCCCCCCTGCTCAGCGCCCCCCGGCGCGGCCAGCACGGGGTACGCCTCGCGCGGGCCGCGGCCCCGCCGCGGACCCTCGGCTGAAAGTCGGGCATGTCCCCCTACAGGAGAAATATCCCAAATTCGCTTGACGAAGGACCCAACCATATGCTGCTGCGAGTACCGCGGGGTAGAGAGGACGAAGAAGGGGGGCAGCTAAGCGGAGAAAAAAACTGAGGGGGAGAAAAGCTGACGCGGGCGAGCGGGGAGTCTTTTTGGTTTTCGCCCGAACCCCGTGCGCGGCACGTGCCATGCGGACGCTCCCGCTGGGGCCTTCGGTGGATCTCCCTAATTATGGGGCCACGAACCGTGTGAGGGGGTGTGCCGAAATGGGGAGGCGGAACCATGCGGACGCTCCCGCTGGGGCCTTCGGTGGAGCTCCCTATGGGGCCACGAACCGTGTGAGGGGTGTGCCGAAATGGGGCGGCGGTGCCATGCGGACGCTCCCGCTGGGTGGGGCCTTCGGTGGAACTCCCTATGGGGCCACGAACTGTGTGAGGGGTGTGCCGAAATGGGGCGGCGGTGCCATGCGGACGCTCCCGCTGGGGCCTTCGGTGGAGCTCCTATGGGGCCACGAACCGTGTGAGGGGTGTGAGGGTGTGCCGAAGTGGGGCGGCGGTGCCATGCGGACGCTCCCGCTGAGGCCTTCGGTGGAGCTCCCTATGGGGCCACGAACCGTGTAAGAGGTGTGCCAAAATGGGGCGGCAAAGCCATGCGGACGCTCCCGCTGGGGTCTTCGGTGGAGCTCCCTATGGGGCCACGAACCGTGTGAGGGGTGTGCCAAAATGGGGCGGCGGTGCCATGCGGACGCTCCCGCTGGGTGGGGCCTTCGGTGGAACTCCCTATGGGGCCACGAACTGTGTGAGGGGTGTGCCGAAATGGGGCGGCGGTGCCATGCGGACGCTCCCGCTGGGGCCTTCGGTGGAGCTCCTATGGGGCCACGAACCGTGTGAGGGGTGTGCCAGAATGGGATGTGCATGCGGAGAGCAGAGGCAAGGGACTGGAGGAGGGAGGAGGTGGAGGGGGCAGCGGGAGGTGAGGTGAGGTGAGGTGAAACGCGGGGCACTCTCTCTTCAAAACGAGGACCCAACATCACAGGATGGTTGGGAAATAATCAAAAAAACAAGATGGTCACGACGTTGGTCTTCCCGAATCCGCCTGCAGGGGGCCCGACCGAACCCTCGGCGGCGTCCACCCCGCCTCTCGCCAACGGCAGCGGCGCACGGCGACGGCGCCGACGGCGAAGGCGCTGTCGACGGCGCCGCCGCCGCGCGCGCCGGCGCCGGCGCCGGCGCAGACGGCGCAGGCGGGGTCGACGGCGCCGCCGCTCGCCGGCTGCGTCGGCGGCGCAGGCAGCGTCGGCGGCGGCGGCGGCGGCGACGGCGAGCGCGGCAGTGGGTGCCGCGTCTCGGGCGGGGCCCTCTGGAGGGGGGGGGGCGGGCCCCCGCGCGCCCTCGGGGCTGGCGGCACACACCCGCACCCCAGAGGCAATCCTTGTGCGGTGGAGCGGCGGTACTGTTTTTCTTTGGCGGCGAGGCAAAGGCGATCCGCACCAACGTCGAGCTAATCGGGGGCATCGATAAGGGCGCTCGGGGGGAGAACCCGGAGGGGTACAGTCGGGCTGCCGAAAGAAGGAACGCGACATGAGGAACGAAGCTCCCTTTTGGCACGATGCGCGGGTCCTAGAAGAGTCTCCGAGAGTTCCTCCCCAGAGAACCCCGAGAGCCTTCCGACGAGATCCCAGAAGCATCCCTGAGGACTGTGGCCCACTTCAGCGCCTCCGCCGCCGCCGTCGTCGTCGCCGTCGTCGTCGTCGCCGCCGCCGCCGCCACCGTCGCCGCCGCCACCGCCACCGCCGCCGCCGCCGCCGCCACCGTCGTCGTCGTCGTCGTCGTCGTCGTCAGCCGTCGCCGTCGCCGTCGCCGTCGCCGTCGTCGTCGTCGTCGTCGTCGTCGTCGTCGTCGTCGTCGTCGTCGTCATCGTCTCCTTTCAGGGTCGGCGGCACCCGCCGCAAGGCCTTCGCAATGGCCCCCTTTTGGCAGCAAACGCGCCTGGATGCAGGAGGAGGGCTCGAGGAACAACCACGGAAGGACCCAACAAGGAGCAGCGAGCCCCGTCGGAGCCCACACTGTTCCTTCTTGCAGCGTCTTGACTGAACCGCGGGTTCGTGTCTTGTCGACCCAGGCGTGGGTTTCTGACGCCGAGACAATCGTTCAACCTTGGACGATCGGCCGTTTCAGAAAGGTCAGATCGTTTCTGACACCGAGGGGATCGTTCCACCTTGAACGATCGACCGTTTCCGAAACGACAGATCGTTCAGCATCGAGCAGATCTGGGCCGCCGGCGGCGTTCAAAGATGAACGCCGGCGTCGGGGTCGCTGGCGATCGACAGGAAGCGAAGCTACCATACTCAGTAGACGGGGAGCCTGACCGATGCAGGAAGCTGGCGCGCTCTTGCCACTTTCCCGCTATCCCGCGCACGCGAAAGCGGCACTCTCTGGCCGCTTTCCTTCTGTAACCTCCTGGGTTAACGCGCCAGCCCCATCGCGCCAGCTATCCGTGTCGAATCCGCGTCGAGCCCATGTCGAATGCATCGAGTCCGTGTCAAAGCCGTGTCAAATCGACGCCGAATGTACGTCGAATCCAAATCGAATCCGGGTCGAACCCCAGTCGGAGTACAAGAACAGAGCGGAATTCGCAGGACAGAAAAGAGCATATCCTGGGCTGCAGAGCAGCTCTCTGAGGGGCAACGTTAGTTCTGGAGAGACAGGCTCGGGGGGGGGAAGCATCGAGCTGCAATCGGCGATACCTCGCCGACACAGCGGCGACAGGCCCCGATAGCGAAGCCGCAGGCTCCTGGTGGGCGACGGGGGGTCGAGGCATCCCCCCCTGAAGCCTACGGCGGGCTCGTGTCGTAACGACTCCGGCGTTGGTTCGTGACACCGCGGGGATCGTCCAACCTGGAACGATCGGCCGCTTCCGAAACGTCAGATCGTTCAACACCGACCAATTCGGAATCGACGGCGGCGTTCCACATGGAACCCCGGAGGCGGGGTCGCCGCCAGTCGACACGACGCGATCAGAGCGTATCCCAGGAGAGTCCGGCATCGAATCGACGGGTCGGACCGGTGATCGAAATGAATCGAAGCGGCGGAAATCGGAAGCCAGGTCGGGAGAAGTCGAATCGGCGGAAATCGGCAGCCCCGCAGCCTCCATGGAAGAATCGGCACCCGAATCGGAATCCAGAGCCGAGTCGAATCGGAATCGGAGGCCACCGAAATCGATCCGAGTCGAGTCGGAGGAGTCGAACATGAGCCCCCCAGCGTTGCCCCTGGAAAAAAGCCCAGCTTGCGGGCCATGACCTCGGGCCTCTGGCGGCGGTTGGGCGACGAGTCGGGCGGGCAATCCCCAGAGCGACCTGGGCGACGCAGGGCGAGGGGCCGACCCCCGTCGCGGGGGGGGATCCTCCCACGCTTGCTTCGGCGGCGAGCGAGGGGGGGAGGTGAGCCATGTGAGCTCGCGTCATACCTGACGTCCTACCCCCTCCCTCCCATCCCTTGCCATGGCGTAGCTCGCCGCTCTATTCGCACGGTCGGATGTCGGGCAAGGCAACGAGCCCGAGAGGGTGCGCGATGCATGTAGAGCACGGCAAAGCACGGCACTGAAGAGGGAGATGAGAAGGTTTCGGAGTCGAGGTTTGAGGTCTCGGGGCGCTTTCGTCGGGGGATGCGCTCCAGCAGCTGCGCCTCGCCGAGAGCGTTCCGGGCGTGCCTGGATCGTTCCGAACGGCTGCCGGGGGCCCGAGCTGTGACCCGGAAACCAGACCGGGCGGCACGCCGAGGGGGGGAGTGAGAAGGAGGAGGAGGAGGAGGAGGAGGAGGAGGAGGAGGAGGAGGGGGAGGAGGGAGGCGGATGATGATGATGATGATGATGATGATGATGATGATGATGATGATGATGATGATGATGATGATGATGATGATGATGATGATGATGATGAGAGAGGAGGAGGAGGAGGAGGAGGAGGAGGAGGAGGAGGAGGAGGAGGAGGAGGGAGGAGGAGGGAGGGAGGGGAGGAGGAGGAGGAGGAGGAGGAGGAGGAGGAGGAGGAGGAGGAGGAGGAGGGGAGGAGGGAGGAGGAGGAGGGAGGCGGAGGAGGAGGAGGAGGAGGAGGAGGAGGAGGAGGAGGAGGAGAAGAAGGGAGGAGGAGGAGGTTGGGGAGGATGGGGAGGATGGGGAGGAGGAGGATGAGGAGGAGGAGGAGGAGGAGGAAGAGGAGGAGGGGGAGGCGGAGGAGGAGGAGCTCCGTAGCAAGGCATCTGGCTCAAGCCATTGCCTGGGGGAAGTCCTTCCCCTGGGGTGGGGGCTCAAGTACCGAGTGCCGCGCCCCCTTTCCATTCACTTCGATACTAATCTCGGCATGGCGCGGCCTGCGGCTGTCGGCCCGTTCGTGATCCCAGGTGATGTGACTATGCCGTTCACAGTGAAGGCGAAGCCAGCAAAGTTCATCGTCAAGGTTTTGGCCATGGCGCTGCCTGCGGCTTTCGGCCTGTTGGTGATCCCATGTGTTGTGGCCATGCCGTTCACTGTGAAGGCGCAGCCAGCAAGTTCATCGTCAAGGATTTGGCCATGGCGCTGCCTGCGGTTTTCGGCCTGTTCGTTTCCCAGGTGTTGTGGCCATGCCGTTCATGGAGAAAGCGAAGCCTGCATGTTCATCGTCAAACATTTTGGCTGTGGTGGTGGGCTTCTGGTGGTCATCTGCCCTCCCATTGCGTCGGAGCGCTAGGAGGCCATCTGGCCCCTAGTAGCGCATCGCATGGGTCTAGAGGCTTATTTGTTTGTATGGATATTCAGTGGCTTGTGCTACCGGTAAGCCCATGGTTGTCTTCCAGATGCTGATGGGATCTTGCTGGATGGTTACGGTCGCTCCACCCTCGTCGTTTTCGTGTCAGTTGGGGGTGCACAGCAGAGATACTGTATGGGTTCCTGGTATCGCGTCCCGTCCTTCACCCCGGCATTGTACGTGGCTTGGGCTTCCTGGCGCCGTTATGGTGCTGTTTGCGGCTAGGCTTCCTGGTGCCGCGGTGGGTGTGGGAGGGCGGGCCTGTGGGTGTGCTCCTTCATCATTGTCGTGGTGGACTCCCGCGGGTTGGCGGAGGTTTTCTTCTGAGGGTATCTTTGAGGCGCGGCCCCAGGGATGTACTTCTCCGAGGCACCAGAGGCACCAGAGAAGGAGGAGGAGAAGGAGGAGGAGGAGGAGGAGGAGGGAGGAGGAGGAGGAGCAGGAGGAGGAGGAGGAGGAGTAGGAGGAAGAGCAAGAGGAGGAGGACGAGGAGAAAGTGAGAAGGAGAAGGTCTTCTCAGAAGGCGGCGGGAGGTCTTCTCAGAAGCCCTTCACCCTTTTGAGAGGTGTTCTGTGTCTTCGGGGAGGCTCAGAAAACTTCTCAGAAGGCCAGGGGGCTTCCCAGCCTTCTGAGAAGGCCCGCCCGGTCTCACTTCCCCCCCAGACTCGCCGCCGATGTTGCGATTCCAGCGCAGTTTTGAAGGGAGATGGGCGTCCACTGATTTCTGGTGTGGGAACGTCACGCTATCCGTAACAAAACCATCGAAATCGCGGCGAGCTAGGCATGCTGCTGCGGTGTCACGAATGCGTCGCCGAGCTAGTCATTGGGTTGATGTGTCCGTTCCCCCATTACAAAACTGCGCTGGAATCAAAACATCGGCGGCGAGCCAGGGGCGGAAGTGAGAAGTAGCGGGCCTTCTCAGAAGGCCTTCTGCGAAGATTCCTAAGCCTTCCCAGATGACGCCGAAAACTTCTCAAAGTGTGGAGGGCTTCAAAGAAGTCACGCCGCCTTCTGAGAAGGCCTTCTCCTTCTCACTCCCCCCCTCGGCGCGGGGCCGAATTCGGGTCGTAACTCGGCCCCCCAACGGCCGTTCGGAACGATCCGGGCACGCCCGGAACGCTCGCGGCGAGGCGCAGCTGCTGAAACGCATCCCGAGGCTGGAAAGCCGCCGAACACCGACGAAAACGTCCCGAAACCTCAAGCCTCGAAAACGTCCCGACACCACGAACCTTTCCCGCCGACGCTCGTCGCCGAGCATGCTCCGAGCTGCGAGGGCAGCCTGCGCCGCCGGAGGACCCCCGGCCGACGACAGAAGCCGCAGGGCGCCGCCTGGTGCAGCGCGAGGCGAGGCGACGAGGCGAGACGGGGCGCCAGGACGAGGATAACATCGGGTGAGGGTAGAGTCGGGGCGTTGACCTATAAGGAACCCTAAATATAAGGAACGAGGCCCCTTTTTCCATAAGTGAACTTCGATGCCCCATGGAAAATATCAGGAAAACCTCAGGCAAACTATGATACAGCTAGGGAACACGGAGCCCCTCCCAAACGAAACGAATTCCTTCTTTGGCGCCCCGACTGTACGGTAGGTTCATGTGGCGTTGGCGCGCCAGAAACGCAGGCGAAGGCGTCCAAGGCTGAATTCCGCCACGCGGAGGCACCGAGGGACACGGTGACGCCACTGGACCCGACGGAATTCAACCTTGAACGATCGGCTCATGGTTGAACGATCGATGCGGTTTCAAGAGCCTTTGCGCGCGCCGACGCCGCGCGAACCCACCTCAAATCCAGAATCTCTGAGCTCCGGCGGCTTTGGGAGTATGTCTCGGGTGCCGCGGCCTCCTCAGAGCGTTCCGGAACGCTCTGAGAGCGTTCTGGAGCGTTCCGGAACGCTCTGGTACGGATTTGTCCATGCCCTGGCCCCGTCGGATCACATGTGGGTGAACATAACGTTCGGATGCAACTCCTGGGAGGTCTTCGGCAGATCGATCAAGGGCTATTAAGCCCCAATGCAAGGGCCTTCGGGCCGGATCAGGCTGGATTGGGCCTAAGTTTTTGCCAGATTAATTAACCTCAGGAAGGCATTAAGAACCCCCCCTGGGTTATTCTTAGCACCCGGTTTTCTCAATATTCCAGGCGGGCAGTTTTAGCCGAACGATACACTTAGCACCCGCCGCACACAGAAAACAAAATCCACCATCGGCGGCCGCCCCACTAACGCCCCACTAAGCCTTGCTAAGCCCTGGTAAGCCCTACTAAGCCCTACTAAGCCCTGCTACGCCCTGCTAAGCTATGCTTGGCCCTGCAAAGCCCTGCAAAGCCCTGCTAAGCCCTGCTAAGCCCTGCTATGCCCTGCTAAGCCTTGCTAAGCCCTGCTTGGCCCTGCTAAACTGCTTGGCAGGAGCAAATCTGCGCTTGGCAGGCCTTAGCTAGGCCCCGAGTCCCCTCAGACAGGTCTTCCGGTGCGGCCATAACGCTCCAGGGTGCGGGGGCGTTATAATCCACCGGAAAAGGGGGGGGGGGGGTTCTTAATGCCTTCCTGAGAAGCGGGAATCAGCCCGATTCAACGGGGTGCAGGATTTAGCCAGATTGGGCAAGTTTGCGACTAGAGAAATACCAGCGCCGCTCCGAATTCATCCTCCACGTTCTGGAATGATGCCTTGGTCCAGAGGTGCAGCAGTGCGAGTGTGGAGCGCCATCGAGCAGCCCCTGGGCCCGTTACTTCCTTGGCCACGCTCAGAAGGGCTTGGGGCGAAGAAGGTGGCCTTGGCATCTTAGAATCCAAAAGCCTTGAAGCCATCTGGGCGACGAAAACAAAAGGGTCTTACCCAAGATGACGCAGCGACCTTACGCGGTGGCTTACGCAGGCCGCCAGCGCGGAACGCTACATTGGAAACGAGGGCGCTCACGCGCGACCTTACGCGAGACGCTTACGCGCAAGTGTCGGCACAATCGAACTCGTGTTCCTGCGTCACTGGTCTGGGCTTCTAGAAGGCCTCCTTCCCGGGGAGGGGGGGCACACGGGTGGGGTTTGAGGAACATAGCCCTTGACGCCCCTGGAGAAGGAAAATATCAGGCTCAGGCTGGATTCGCTCCTTGGGCTAAACACCCCTCCGCGCACACTCGATGAGAGGCATCCTTAGATCGGCCAACCGTAAGAGCGATCCTAGGCAAGGAGTGACCCTTTTCGGTGGCAACTCATGGGATCCTCCCATTCCGTCTTGTCGGCTCTTGCGAATCGACGCTCATCGACGCTCGTCGACGCTAATCGACGTTGCATCGACGCCAATCGACGCTAGCCGACGGTTACTCGGCGCTATCTCATCGACTTCCAGACGATAATCGACGCTACTCTGTGCCCTGGACTACTTGAGGGCGCGTGTGGATTGCCTCTGCAGGAGAGCCCAAAATCGAATGGATAAGTGGGATCGGCGATCGAAATAAATCGTGTCGGCCGGAATCGGCAGCCGAGTCGGGAAAAGTCGCATCGGCGGAAATCGGCAAGCCAGTTGGCCTCCAGAGAGAAATCGCAAGACAAGTCGGACTCCAGAGTCGAATCGAATTGGAATCGGAAGTAGTCGAAATTGAATCGAATCGAGTGCGAGGAATCGAAATGAGCCCTGCCTTACCTCCGATCGTCGCATGCGATGCGACAGTGGCGGCCTCCGTGTCGGAGCCTGGCCCCCCTCCCGCCCCTCCCCCTGAGGCCGCGCAGCAAAGGTTGCTCTGGCGAACGGCCACTCGGCCTTCGGGCCAGGACTCGGCCCTCCAGCGGTGGGAGGAGGAAACCAATACAGATCCAGCGCTCCTGGCCCTCCTCCTCCCCCCCCTCGTCCTCTAGAAAGACGCAGAAGGAGAGGGGAGGAGGGCCAAGAGAGCTGGATCTGTACCGTTTTCCTCCTCCCAAGCGGCCGTTCGGGACGATCCGGCAGGCAACCCCCGAGCGCTCACGACGAGAAACCTCGAACCTCTGGATGGGCGTCGCCCCGGCGGCCTGGGGGATCTTGTAGAGGCTGCGGTCGCCCTCCACGTCGACGACCTCCACCTCTCCGCACATGTCGTCGGGGTCGATGCCTGGGGCGCGGGAGCGGCGAGAGCCGTCGCCGACGCCGACTCGGGCCAGGCCACAGCGTGCAGTCGCCCCGTATGAGAAGGACGCGCGACAAGGATGCACGGGCCTTGGAAGGCCATGCCGACACTTTGCGGGCGGGGCGCGGCCAGCGAAAGCGGCCCGGGATGAGCCAAAGGCGAAGGATGCAATGGTGACCCTGGAAAGTCGCTCATACTATGTGGGTGGACTGTAGAGGGAGCGCCGCTGGTGGACCTGGAGGCGGGAGAGGATTTAGACCCCCCCCTCCCCATCCCTTTCCCTCTTCCCAGCCCGACCCCTCAGACCCCTCCCCCCCTCCCCCCCTTTCCGATCCATCATCCCGGATCCCCCCCCCCTCCACCTCGTGTCAAAAGGGGGGAGTTACACCACTCCCTCTCCCCCCTTGGAGCCCATATTAAAACGCACCCCTTCCCCCATTTGGGGAGCCCCCCCCTTTCCCTGAGCAACACACCACTGGCACACTAACCCTAACACCCAACCCCGAGCACCCGAACTCTAACGCGCTGACCCCTAACACCCCAATCCGTAACATCCGAAGCCTAAGACACGAACACGAACACCCTTACATTGACACTCCAAACCATAGACCCTAGTTTGAGGGAGTTTCTGTGGAACTCACGTCATCCTCACCCCCGGCGCGAAGAGCACGAGTCCAGAGCGGCCTCCGGCACCGTTTCCGGACGGATCCGGACGGATCCGCTGGATCCGGGGACGAATCCCAAACCGGCGCCCTCGCCTGAGACATCCCCGCAAAACCGGCCCCGGGGGAGGTGCCCAGAGGAGCCCAGAGCGGCCTCTGGCACCGTTTCCGGACGGATCCGGACGGATCCGCTGGATCCGGGGACGAATCCCAAACCGGCGCCCTCGCCTGAGACATCCCCGCAAAACCGGCCCCGGGGGAGGTGCCCAGAGAAGCCCAGAGCGGCCTCCGGCACCGTTTCCGGACGGATCCGGACGGATCCGCTGGATCCGGGGACGAATCCCAAACCGGCGCCCTCGCCTCAGACATCCCCGGAAAACCGGCCCCGGGGGAGGTGCCCAGAGGAGCCCAGAGCGGCCTCCGGCACCGTTTCCGGACGGATCCGGACGGATCCGCTGGATCCGGGGACGAATCCCAAACCGGCGCCCTCGCCTGAGACATCCCCGCAAAACCGGCCCCGGGGGAGGTGCCCACAGGAGCCCAGAGCGGCCTCCGGCACCGTTTCCGGACGGATCCGGACGGATCCGCTGGATCCGGGGACGAATCCCAAACCGGCGCCCTCGCCTGAGACATCCCCGCAAAACCGGCCCCGGGGGAGGTGCCCAGAGGAGCCCAGAGCGGCTCCGGCACCGTTTCCGGACGGATCCGGACGGATCCGCTGGATCCGGGGGCGAATCCCAAACCGGCGCCCTCGCCTGAGACATCCCCACAAAACCGGCCCCGGGGGAGGTGCCCACAGGAGCCCAGAGCGGCCTCCGGCACCGTTTCCGGACGGATCCGGACGGATCCGCTGGATCCGGGGACGAATCCCAAACCGGCGCCCTCGCTTGAGACATCCTCACAAAACCGGCCCCGGGGGAGGTGCCCAGAGGAGCCCAGAGCGGCCTCCGGCACCGTTTCCGGACAGATCCGGACAGATCCGGTGGATCCGCGCCCCGGGGGAGGTGCCCAGAGGAGGAATGAGGAGGAGGAGGAGGAGGAGGAGGAGGAGGAGGAGGAGGAGGAGGAGGAGGAGGAGGAGAAGATGATGGAGCTGCGGGGTGGAGGAGGACAGACGGAGGCAAGAGAAGGATGGAGGAGGAGGAGGAGGAGGAGGAGGAGGAGGAGGAACCTCATCCTCACCCTCGCCAACAAGCGCACGCACCTTCTTCTATATACAGAAACTCCCGATCAACCGCAGAGCGGCCGGCTAGAACCCTAAACCTAACCTTAATTCCCTTACCCGACCAAACACACACACACACACAACACCTAGCAACCGAATACTAGACATCGTCCTCCTAAGCCTAACACCCTAGAACCCTAACCCTGACGCCCTAACCCGAACCCACTAACCCCCATGACCCTAACATCCTAACACCCTAACCCTGACACCCAACCCGAACTCACTAACACCCTAGTCCTGACACCCTAACCATAACCACCCCCCCTTACACCCAAACCCTAACACCACAAATATTAAACCCTAACCACAAACGAAAACATCCTAACCCTAACACCCCACCCCTCACACCCTAATCCAAACACCCAGACAACAACCCTGGCACTCTAATCCTAGCATCCTAACACCAACCCCTCAATCGAGCCCGACGCACACTAACCCGAAAACCCCAATACCCTGAGTCTAGCCCTACCGCCATATTAACCCTGAGAAGCAGACCGTAATCAACCCGACATCGGCAACCGAAACCTAACACCCTATTACGAACACCTTGACCCTAGCACCCTAACCCTCACCAAAATAGACGCCTAAACCTAATCGTAAGTACCTGGCCTCTCCCTCACGCGCACAAACCCTGACACCCAAACCCCAATACTAATAACGAACCCGACTATCCTGACCCCAATCCCCTAACACCCTAACACCCTAACGCCCTCGTAGACTATCACCCTGACCCTGAAATACAACTCCCTCACCCTAACACACTAACACCGTACCCCTAATCCGGACATCCATGACCCTAACCCACTAACACCCTGACACTAACACCCCGACCCAAACTTCCTCACGCCCTAACCCTAACACCGTCGACCTTACATCCGAACCCTAATCATAAACACCCCAATCCTTACACCACACTTGCACACGCACACACAGGACCCCGAGCACACTGACCTAAGCTCTCTAGCCCTCACACACTAACACACGCTTCACATCCCTAACACCCGAGTCCTAATACCCTAAGCATCCAAACTCTGACAGCCTGACCCTAGCATCGTAACCCTAACACCCCAACCCTCATCCATTAGCCACCATAAACCGAACCATAAGCACCCTACCCCTCGCAGCATAACGCTAACAGCCTGACCCCAACACGCTAGCACAATAACCCCGACAACATAACCCTGACCAGAAACACCTTTACCCTAGCACCCTGACCCTGAAACTTTAGACCTAACAACCTGACCCTAACCCTGAACACCCGAACTCTAACCCTCGCACACAAGCCCTGACATCGTAACCACTATGTATCCAAGCGCCCTTATCCTGACACCGTCACCTTACACATTCCTGACCCTAACACCCTAACGCAGTGCCACGAGCGCGTTTCTTTGTTCGGCGATGACGGGCGTCAGGGAGAGGGCGGGGGGCAGGGGGGGGTGTGACGTAACGCCTCCCCCCCGCCGTGTGGCTCCGGCACCAAACCCGAGCCCGCGCGCACGACGCGACGAGCGACGAGAGACGAGCGACGATGACGACGACGACGCGAGCAGCATGTAGGTGGCGATTTCTAACATTCTATATGCAACAGTTGTGCCGTGTTGCACACGGTTGCTGTGGTGCACACAGGCGCCGTGGTGCACACGGGCATTGCAATGCATGCAGGCGTTGTGGTGTACACTGGTGCCGTGCTGCGCACGGCTGATGTGGTGTACGCAGGCGCTGTGGTGTACACAAGAGCTGTTGTGCCCGCAGGCACGGTGGCACAAACTAACGCTGTGTTACAAGCGGCTGCTGTGGTGTACATAGGCAGTGTGGTGTACACAGGCGCTGTGGTGTACGCAGACACTGCGGTGTACACAAGCGTTGTGGTGCAGACACCTACATGCTGGTGCTACCCGTCCTCCACCATTTCTAGGCATTCCCAGACGCCGCCGGCGCGAAACGTGACGTCATCGACCCCCCCCCCCACCCCTGATGATTGCCCTCGTCGGCCCGGAACAAAAACCAGGCTCCATCCGCGTCCGCGCGCATGACGACGATGAGCGACGATTGACGAGCCACGAGCGACGACGACGAAGACGACTGCGGACCAGACTCCTATGCGGATTCCTACGCGGACACCTACGCGGATCCCAATGCGCACGGCGGCAATGCCCGGAGCGCACTGGGGGGGGAACGTTACGTCATAGTGGGGGGGGAGCGGGGGCCATGACGCCCGCCATGCCCCAAGCAATAAAGAAACGGGCTCCACCCTAGCACCCTAACACGCGAAATCCAACACCCGTACCCCCAATCACCCTACCCCTGATACAAGCACCCTCCTAACCCTGACATCCTAACCCTAACCCAAAAAACACCCTGACCCTGGCATACCGACCGCAACACTAAACACCCCAGCACTAAAACCATAACCATAACACCCTAACCCGAAGCACCGTCGTAACCCTGATGCCCTAGCACTACCTCTAACACGCTAGACCCCTAATCCTAAACCCACGCACCTTAACCCTACCACCTTAAACAACCTCACACCCTGATCCTAACATCTCCCCCTCTCACACACACACGCACCACACACACCATCCATATACACACACGCGCACCTCTATATACATACATATATAGATATACATATCAAACGCACACACACACACGCACACACGCACTGAGCCTGACACCCCTACCCCAATCCCAACACCAAAACTCTAACGCCGCAAACCCCGACCCCCTGATTTTAACCGTGAGCGCCTTGGCCGAGCCGACCTGGAATCTTATGCCTCGGTCCGGTCGAATACTGAACCCTGCCCGCGCCGACGCGCCCTGACTGTGCCCAGGCTCGGCCAGGGTC